CCGGCTGGATCTCACCGTCGATGGTGCTTACTCCCCACCCCTCTTTCCATGCAGGAGACTTCCCAGTGATGTTCCAATGCAGATACAAACCAGATTGTGTAAGTCTATTTTGCAAGTATAACTACGTGAAGAAGAATGAGAAAGTGAAAATCTCGGTGCTGCTCAATTTAAAGGAAGCCAAAAAAATAAAGGACAAAGTTGTACTAACCCTTAGGGGGGCGCCTCAGTTGTCTCTCCCCCTGAGTGCCAAGGTGAGCACAGTGCAACGTCGTAAATGTTCACAAGTAGAGCTGCCTCTATGTGACGGAGCTAAGCTGCTTCCCAATTTACCAGTGCAAGCTCCATTTTGTTACTTCCCCAATTCATCCTCCCCCTGCCGCTTCCACCACAGGGCACCCCCTCCAACGTCCTCATCATCGACGGGCTACACATCCGGCAAAGAAGAGGAGAGCTCAAATGCTACGAAGTGAAAATATTAAACAGAGGACCATGTGAGGAAAGCATCCTCCTAGATACATCCTCTTTTGACTTCCTAAACATCCAAATGGGCGACAAAAGGGAAAGGACCTTATCTGAGCTTAACGGCAAGGAGTACAAAGATGCGAGTAAAAAAGAAGATGTCGTAACCGTGGAGAGGACTTACAACGAAGAATACGATGACCTACTAACAGACGAATGCGCCAAGTATCATTACAACCAATTGTTGAAGCTGCACAATTTGGTGTCGGCCTTTTGCAAAAATAAAGGTCACATCCTTTTTAAAGATAAAAGAGAAATAAAAAACATATACAGAGTTGTCGTGCCATCCAAGTGCTTCCTCTCGTTGTGCATTCAATGCTACTCCTCTAGGACCATGAGGAAAGAAATTACGTTCCAGACTCTGCTCAACCGTAACAGAGTTGCATACGAAAAATCGGAAGAGTTAATAAACGTAGACATTGAGGAAGGGCACTTAGATGTATCTCCCCCGTTTCTGCACTTCACTGATTTGCTCCCGCAACAGGCTGACGAAGCTTACATATCATATTTTTCGAGAGAGAGGACGAAAAGTGTGACAATCAGAAATGTGTTCAGTCAACCTGTGCAGTGGGCAATCCGCTTGGATGAGGAGAAGCGCAGGGAACTCCACATGGTTCGACGGGCGCATAGGGGAGTGGCCGAAATTGCTGAACGGAAGGAAGCGGCGGGGAAGTCGAAGAGAGTGGACAGCGTCATGAGGGGGAGCGTCATAAAAGAGACAGTCAAAACGAGAGGCCCAGCAAAATCGCGCCAATCGGATGAACTCACCGAGCAGCGCCAATACCAAGTGCACCCCAGCAGGGACCGAGGCATTCTACAGCCAAACGAGGAAACGACGGTGGACATAAAGTTAAGCGGCTTCAAAATGTGCGGGAGGTATGTGGACGTGCTGGACATCTCTTCCTCCCTCTTGGGTTCCAACAGTGCAAGAAGCGAGGACGGCGGGAAGAATGGCCTCAAGGGCGGCGGCAAAGACAGCGGAAAGGAAGAAACAGAAGAGGAGATCCATTTCTCCCTCTACATGCTCATACGTTGCGACATCCCGAAGCTTCAGTTCGACGTAACCTACATAAACATAGTCCACAATCGACTAAACGATTATTGTTCCTTCCCCTTCGACATATACAGCCATGGGTACAACTACGTCAGGGTCGATTCACACTTCAAGAACATGCACGCAGAATGTTTTTCCATATCCCTGGACTTCATCGATGGAAATGAAATAAACGAAAAGGTGAAGAAGCTGCGCATGTCGTTGAAGTGCAAAGCGTCCAGGTGTCTGAAGTTCAAATCGCACATCGTCTTCAGCGTCATGGACTATCATCAGTACATCATTCCGCTGTTCGTGAGCATCGACGAGGGAGTCGACTTCCTACTGGAGAAGGCGGCCAGAGAGGAGTCAATCGAAGAGAGCGGCAGAGAGAGCGGCAGAGAGAGCGGCCAAGAGATGGACGAATCGCTGGACGATGACCTCCCCACGGGAAGCAGCCCAAAAGGAGACTCCACGGGTATCCGCCCTGAAAGGAACCCCACCGAAGGCATAATCAGAGAGACAAGTCTACACCAGCATATGAACACGACGGGCATCCAATTTGACAAACAAAACGAACTTTTGTCCTTCTTTTGCAAAAATGTGCAGGGAACAAAAAGGGGAGGCACTAACGGAGATATATACAAAGGACTCAAAATTAGGAAAATTAGGAAAATCAGAAATGTGTACTACAATAAGGAAGAGGGGGTATACCCACTGAGTGAAATCATTGGAGATTACCTCTTCGTGTTTGTCCAAAAAATTTTGTTACGCAAAAGTTACTTCCCCCAGATGATTGAAAGCACAAACGATTTGTTTCTCTTCTTTGTGGACCTTCTATTCGATCTCTTTTCTTCGATCTATCCAAATAAAACTTTGCAAAATGTTATTATCGAACTGAAGAAGAATCGAACTGTTGTGGTGAAGGACATGGAGAGACAAGACTTGTTCGATGAGAAGTTTACGGAAAATGTCAAGGCCCTTTGGAAGTGCCTGAACGAGGTAAGAGGCATTTGAGGCTGCTCGGTCAGGCGGCTCATTAGTCCGCTCCTTCAGTCCGCTTCCCCATTCGGCGGCTCACTCCTTTGCATGCCTACTTTCTCACCCCACTTGGACAGGAATGCATCCCAGTGGACCACATCATTTACGAAAATTTGTTGCCAGCGGATGTGTACCTTCCCCACGTTTTGGACAAAGTGCCGGACTACTTCCACGTTGAGGAGGAGGAGGAAAAGTATCGCGCGAGCACAGGACACCTCTCCTTGCAACACTTGGAATCATTTTTGCTAAATGGAAATAAAAAGGTATTCTACTTTGATCAATTTTTTAAAACGCACGTAAGATTATTTAGTTACTCATGGATCACCATCTTCCTGGAGATACTAAACAAGAAGATATTTGGAGGGATCAACATCAGCTCGCTGATAAACCTGCGTGGGATTAAATTTTACAGCATAGAGAACAAGCTGAACGAAAATATAAAAATGTGCAAAATTAGCTACCTAGTAATTCTAGATACACAAGACATGGAGCTAAACAAGCATGTCTCATTTTTAAGTGACAAAAAGCGAAGATCCAGGAGAAACAACGCCAGCACTTTAGCAAGCCAGCAGATTAGTAGCGGTTGTGGTTCTACACTAAATGTGGCGGGGTCATCTCTAAATACTTGTAATCGTAATGGTAATCTCACTGATAGGGATAACAGCACCCCACAGAGAAGCGAAAAATATGCGCACAACTATGTGAAGAAGAGGACCACCAAGGACAAACGCTGCTGCACTATCGACTACTTCAATTTTTACGAAAATAATTTCATCGACGTGAAAAAAATTGTCAACAAAATTAGCACTTTTTGCTACTCCGGGGGGGTAGAAGATCCACCAAATGGGAAGCAAGAAACGGTGCAGGGGAGGAACGGAATGGAGAGCGCCAAAGGGAATACAACCATCGGGGGGGACATTCCAAGGGGGGGGAAAACGAATACACCTTTTAAGAATGAATCGACCAAAGAGGCCAAAAAAGGTGCTACAAAAGAGACGACAGAAGAGGCCAAAAAAGGTGCTACAAAAGAGACGACAGAAGAGGCCAAAAAAGATGCCACGAAAGGCGCCACAAAAGAGGCCAAAAAAGATGCCACGAAAGACGCCACAAAAGAGGCCAAAAAAGATGCGACAAACGGAATTCTCCACTTCAAAAGCGCAGAGTGCATCCTTTTCGAGTGGCTCTATTTTCACTACAACAATGTGTTTCACGCCAAGGTGGAGGATAAGCGGTACGTTCTTAAGGAGGCCCATGGGGGAAGCGACGATGAATTGTCCTATAGGAAGGGAGATCGGAATGAGGCGCTGAAGGGGAGCAACCGGGAGGGAGAGCGCAGAGGAGGAAGCCCCAGTGGAAACCCCATTGAAAGTCCCAGTAGCGTCCGAAGTGTTTCCCACCCTGGTAACGCTTCAGAGGTGGCCCCAAGTCAAGTGCAGCAAAACCCGAAGATGAGCAAAATGAACTTCCAGGTCGAAATAAAAAGGAAGAAAAAGGCGGTCGAAAAAAAGAAAAAAGCAAAAAGCATCCACGAATTGAAGGACCTAGTGATGATCCTATATACCATCATCTCGCACATCCCCTATTACCTATTCTTTAAAAACAAAATTAAAGTGAAGTGCAAATCAAGAAGGGACTATGACAAAAACGTGGACATTCTACTTATAATGCTCAGCGAAATGAAGTTGAGTAGTCTGATGAGCAGAGTGGTGATCGTGCAGTTTAATTACATCCATATATATCTGTTTTTGGCGTCCCTGTATTTTATCCTGCCGAGTTATTTGCCCATCTACTACTTGGTCCTGGACGACTTCCCCGCGTACAAGGCTGACTTGAGTTTGATAAATGACGAGGTGGTGAACGGGCGGAAAAAAGTCAAAAGTGAGGCGACGAGTAAACGGCAGCAATCAGCCAAGGGGAAGCAACCAAACAAGGGTCCACTGCCGCCCCAGACCAAGACCACCCCACCCACCGATGGAGAGAACGAAAAGACCCGTTGCGGGGACGGACAAACCATGGCGGACGAACGGGTCATAACTGTGTACAACTTAAATAGCCACAAATGTACCTATGAGGTATTTCTCATTGGCTGCAATAAGTACCAAATCGATAGAGACTGCATCAGCATTGACCCGCTCAAGTCGGAACAGATAAAATTGAAAATAGACAAGGGGTATGACGAAAAGGTGTTGAAACATAGCTACCATACTAGCATTAAGCTTTCACATTTTAAGAAAAAAAGACAGAAAAGGGACACGTGTGACGGCGAAGAACCACACTTTGAGGACAGTTACTCCGTTTCGTCCTGCTCCTCGGAAGAGTGTCAGTGCCCCTCCGACGGGGCCGACAAAATGGACGCGGGGACGGACGAAGAGGGTCCGGTGAGCCCAGGGGAAGATTACTCCATCCTAGTGCTGCGGGCGGAAAGGTAAGCTTTTCCTGCACATTATAGCTCAAAAATGGGAAGAAAAAGAAAAATCCATTTTAGATAACTCCTACTAAGCGCCTCCATTTTCTGTGCCCATTTTGCTACACCGCTCGTCTACGTCTACCTAACTCGACGTAGCACGCGCACCATCGCTGTGCCTCTATTTTCCACTTCCACCCCTTCTCCGTAGCAATCCCCTGCAGGACCAAAAGGACAGAGAGAAATACATCTGCATCAAACTGATCGAACGGGGCGAAAAGGGGAAGATCGAATTGACGTCCCCAGGAGCAAACCTAAGGAAGAAGCAGAATGAAGGAAATAACGTAAACGCTAATGTACACAATGGCGGCACCAGGAGCGAGGTTAACAAAATGCGAACCTCTAATTCATCTCAGGTGAATATTATGCTAAATGATAGCGAAATAAAGTGTTTTAATTTGAGGGGCAAAGTGTACGAAAGGAAGTGTATAGAATTGAATTTGTTCAATAACACGGGGAAGGAGGTCGAGGTGAATTCGAACCTGTATCACCTCTACGTGAAGGATTTGAAAAAAGAGGAGAAAAAGAAGGAAAATTTCGAAGCAGATGTAGTGAATAGGTGGGGCGGTGACACTCTGGGGGGGAACAACCAATGCGCTGTATGCGCGCTAGTTAATGCCAATTTGAGGAGTCACTTGAGGAGCCATTTGGGGAACCAATTGAGCGGCACGGCGACTCATTTTAGCTGTTTCCGTCTAGTCGAGAAAACCCGCTTCACTTGCCTCCAGAATGAAAACAAAAAAGTAGAAGTCCAATTCTGCCCCTTTGCAGAGGGCAGTTATTCCTGCTTCCTTCTATTCAATGTGAATGATAAGAAGAGCAACTATGTCGTGTCGGCATGCAAAGTGAACTGCTTCTTTAACATAAATAACGTAAAAGAGGAAGAGATCATAAAAATGAATACCAAAAATTTAACATTTTCCTACGATTTAAAAGTCTGTCCTGTAAATAGGGAATTCCTCAAGTGCGTAAGATTCATCCTTTGTAATTTGAACTATCTGGAGGAAAGGCATTTTCTGTCTTACTTAAGAGGTTACCTAGAGGATATACATAAGGGGAGGGACAATTTTCATATCATGTGTGATAAGGAAGAGAAAATGACCGTCGAAAAAGGCTTCGCAACATTTGGGCCACTTGATTGCGATAAGTATGTGGAGAAAATGGCATATTGTGAAGGAGTAAACATAGAGGAGTTATACCAATTGGTGAAGAAGGAGGTGAATTATGTATGCACTCTGCGGATAGGAGAGGAGAGTAGCGGAGTGTTTGAATACAACTGCGCTGTAGTGAGGCAGAGGAATGTGCTGCAACGTACGAGTCAGTTATCCTATGAGCAGTTGCGGAAGTTACAAATCAAGGAGCAGAAGGAGATATGCGACCCTTTCTACAAAGTGTACAAAATTATCGCAAGTGTGAATGATCAAGACAGAACTCCTCAATCGTTATACATTACGTTCAAAACGAGCGCATTTGTGATGGCTAAAAAAGCCATTCCTGTGTATAACTACACAAACGGTGTGGTAACGTACCGACGCGTGTACTCAGATGTACTGGATGAGAATAATAAGATAATCCATTACAACATTTTCAGCTGCCCAGAATATGTAGAAATAGGAAAAGACGTTGAATCGGTCAACTTTGAAGTCAGCTGTTACTCCATCATCGGCCTTACCTGCTCCTGCTGCATCACTCTGTATAATGTGAGCAATCAGGAGGAACAGATAAAGATAAACGTACAGGCAAATGTTATGAAGCCCTACCCCAAAGATACCATCCATTTGAACCTACTAAATAGAATGAGAAAAACAGCACAGGTAGAGATTTATAACGAGCTCAATCTCCATTGCGAATTTAAGGTTTACTCAGATCTGCCAATCCTGTTTGGTGTAAAGAAGATCGAAATGATGCCAAAACAGAGGAAGACATACACGTTCTTCGTCACAAGTGCACACATAGGGGAATATATGGGGTGCATCATCTTTAAGTTTCACAAGCTGCTTCATTCAGGTGGTGAAGAAAGAAGGAGGGACGCCTTCTTCCCCTTTGCGAACTACTTCTTCTGGTACAAACTGAACATCACCGTTGAGCTGAATAAACCATTGAAGATCTTATTTTTTGAAGCCAATGTAGGAGAGGAAATCAACAGAGAAATTGTTTTAAAAAATAATGGCAATGAGAATGAGGACTATTTTTTGCTTGCCTACATGAATGAGTACATTGAGAGGAGACAAGTTCAGGTGTCGAAGAATGATATCTATGTGTATAACATCAAGTACGCTCCCAAGATTCCCAACTATTTTTATGACCGTGCCGACGGGGGAAATGCCCCTGGGGGGGGGAGTGCCCCTGAGGAGGTGACTACTACTCGCGGGGAGGAAAAGGATTCAGCCGTCCAGAGGGAACTCCAAAATTTTTACTTCCCCCAGAATGGCGACTCCGATTGGTATGGTTCGCCAGGGGGGGAAAGTCCCAGGTATTATGGGGATGCGGAAAAGAGCGGGGACCAACCTGGCCATGGGGGCAAAGGCGAAGCGGAAGTGTCTCCCAATGAGGAAGACGCCTTTTATGGGAAGGGCTCCCCGGAGGTGTCCCCTAATGAAGCCGCCTCTCCTGTGAAGCGCTCTGCGGAGGTGTGCCCCAACGAAGGCACTGCGCTTAAGCAAAAACATAAGCCATTTCCCCCAAACGAGAAAAAAATATTCGAAGAGCTCATCAGCTACTGCAAGAAGTACATCCAAGTGGACATTCCGTACAGGCCCCAAAACATAGGGTTCTTTTTTATCTACAATAAGAATGAAGGAATCAATTACTACATCTTGATGTTGTTGTCCAGGCTGAGGAGCGAGTTAGACGTGGCGAAATTCTCCGCCTGCTTGTCCCAGTCCTGCTTCCTCCATTTGCACTTCCAGTTTAATAACGAGGAGAAGCGATATGTCCATCTGTTGAAACGGATGGGGGATCCGCCTGCTGCTAATTATCATTATGAAATTGGGGAAGGGGTGACGTCTCCCCGGGGGGGAAGAAATGCTTTATTGGAAGAGAATTTCCAACGAGGCGATATTCACACACGTCACGATTACCAATCATATGATGATGAATGGAGGGAGCAGAAGCACAGGGGAAATGCAAACAAGTATGAGGATGCCCCCATCTATGAGGACAATCCATGTAGTGCCAGCGTAGCGGACCAGGTGAAGCACGAAATAAAGTGCATTTACCTAAGCAATAGGAAGAACTTCCACATTGTGAAGCATAAAGACGTAAGTAGGGTTGTTCTAAAGTACAGGCCAACGGTGAGTATGTCCCAAGGATGCTACGCCATCGTTAGGAGCAACCTCCACGGGGATTTCCTCTACCGGATCTGTGGAACATACACAGTGAAGAAGAAAATAAAAGAGAAGCTCGTCATGTACAACTCCTGCTGTCTGTACAATTTCCATGTAAATCTGTTTAACCCCTTTAACTGCAAAGTGAGGGTAAAATGTAGGGTTAAGGGGGGAGGCACAAAGGAGCTATGCAAGAGGGGAGCTAGTGACGAAGGAACGAAAGAGGAAGACATGAAAGGCCACTACATCACCTCCTTGCAAAAGCAACGAGTTCTGCTAAACAACGAAAGGAATTACTTAAAGATATTGAATAAAGAAAACTTTAAAATAAAAATGAGGAAGCATTTTACCATTATGATGACGTACTTTTGCACAGAGGTTTATTCTAGGAGGACGGTGCTCATAGTGATGAAGCCGTTTCACAGGGATGAGACTCATGGGGATGCTCCTCCGATGATTACTTACGAATACGATTTTGTCTTTAACAATTTGCTGAGGAGTGGCAGGGTCCAGGATGCGGTGCGGTGCATCCCCGTTGTGGGTGAGAGGAAGAACGCGGGAGGAAGGGGGGACTCGGGGGAGATGCAACCATCTTCAGAGTGCAAAGACCTTGGTATAAGCACATCATGTCATTGCTATTCTGATGTTGATGAACCGAGGCCTGGCAGCTCAGCGGGTGGAAATTTCACCACGAGACGTTCCGAAGGGAGTGATGCGGAAAGTAGCCCGTCCGAAGCGAACGATGTGGAAGCCCACCCATTCGAACAATCTGAATCGAGCAAGAGCTCACGCAGTCCCTCTGCAGCCAGCGAACGAAGTCATTTCACGCTGAACGCAACCGAATTGGACACAGCGGAGGTTCTAGACGGAGAACTCAAATTGGAAGACACGGATAGAAGCGAATTTGAGAGGGACCACACTTGGTTTAGTCCCCCCGGCGATAAAGCTCTATGGTGTTCTAATGACTACAACGTAGAATACAACGTAGAACGGGACGTAACCCGCGAGAGGGTTCTCCCCTGTGCAGAGGATAATAACGAGGTGGTGCACTACGACGGGAAAGTATTCATCGAAAGTATGTGCAAAAGGAGGACATGCGTAGAGGTGCACATAGATAAGGCCAAGATGCAGGCAGGGGCAACTTCCCCGCAGGAAGGGGACCTACTGGAGAGGAGGAATCAGGAGAGGCAAAATAATATGCTTCACAGGAATGTGCAAAGGGGAAAGTATAACTATAAAATATTTTTACTAAACGTGAAGAATGTACGTAAGAGCGTCGGAAGCGTTGAGGATGACGGTAGATGTCGCCGCGGAGATGGCAGAGATGGCGGTTCTGCTGATCACGGTTCTGACCGCGGGACGGTCGGTATGGACGTAAAAATGAACACACTCCTTTTCGATGTGAATGAGGCACTGCTAAATGATTACCTGTATGTCCACATTGTGGAGGACACAGACGCTCGCCTCGTGCTGACTTTGGAGCTGCTGGCCTTTCTGCCCTTCCACTGCAGCTTTGACGTTTTGGTAAGCAGGACGGAAGGGGAGGGAGAATCCCACGAAGCGGACGAATCAGCCAAAGGACTGGGGGAAGCCTACAAAGCAGTTGAGGAATCCTGCGGGGGCCAGCCCCACCACAGACATACCATCCTGGACCAAAACCACATAAGCGTAGAAATATTCAACTGCCTGAACGTGTCGAGACAGTACGTAAACATCACCGTCGATGAAAATTTAAGTGGAGAGACAAAGCTTAACATCTTTTATAATCACACGAGGGACTCATATTTCGACGCGTATGTGGTTAGGCACAACCAGCTGAACAGCAGGGGTCACTTGAAGGATGAAATCTTAAACTTTGAGGTGAAGCCTAAATGTGGGATTTTAAAGCACCGGAGTTATAACAGGTTCTTCATTACAAGGACGAACAAGAATGGGGTCTTATCATTTAACAGCTCGTTTTTGCTTTTAATTAAAACGGAGCGGAATGTCTTTTCGTACATGGTCTTTTCTCACTACAGGGCGGCACCCAGCGATGCGCTCGCCACGGTAGGGGTGCAGTAGAGTGGCGGAGAAGCCGTGAAGCTCAGAAGAGATGAGATGGCCAAGCGGTTGAACTGTTGATCGGTTGAGCGGCTGCGCGGCGGATATGCTTCCTCCGCCCCATTGCTGTCCTCCAGTGTGCCCACACCGGAGGGCATACCCTCCGCATGTGGACGCTGCTCAGGGCTGGTGACTCACCGGTTATTAATTGTGCGTTGCTTCCCCTCAGGAGGAGCATAATAAGATAAAGGAGATCCTCAACGAGAACAAGAAGAAGTTCAGTGTCCTCTTCAGTTCGTTCAAGAAGGTAGGAAAGGCCACGCGATTGTACAGGCTGGCGGTGTGGGACGGCCGTGCTTACTGGCCGTGCGCAGGAGGAAGGCGCTTTCACATGTCGCACGCGTAGAACCGGCTCACATAAAAAACGCTCTCCAAACAACCGCGCAGGAAAAGAAAGAAAGTACTATCTTCAACAAGAAGAACCAGATAATCATTGAAGACATTTCCAAGTCGACAGACGAAATCAGAAATGGTTAAGCGTCGTGTGTGTAGATCTCATAACGCGTGTCTCCATGTGGACGTACCCCCTCCTCCATCAGGGGAACTGTCCCCCTTTTGTGTGCCTCCACGAAGGTGACCAGTTTTTTTTTTCTTTTTTTTTGTATGCCCACGTTGCACACTGCAGTGTTGGTTTATATATTTATATGTTTATTTATTTATTTCTATTTATTTTTTCTTCACTGGAGATGTGCAAAACTTTCAAAAGGGCGTTAAACAAAGTTGTCGTTTTTTTGTGTTCAGTTAGGGGAGGGGCAAAGACGTGGAAATTTTGCCACGTAAAGACGCTCAAAGAAATGGGGGTGGAAAATGGAAAAAAAAAAAATGGCACGTTAAAAAGGGAGAAAAATGACATCGGCCCGCATGCGTGACGTAAAAAAAGGGGGAATATATATAGTCGTTCACAGATGGGCTGCTCTCCCTTTGTTGATTTATAAAATGGTACAAAAAAAAAAAACATGTGTATGTGTTCTTATCCCAATGGAGCGGGGCGAAAACAAGGTACAGTGATAAAACGAAGGACCTACGCTTGTGAGACAACTTCCCCGTGAAGCACATTAAAAAAAAAAAGGAAGAGGGGGACCCATTTTGGGGGATAGCATAAAACTTCACAAACAGAATGGATGCAGATGTGCTGCACGTGAAATGGTCCCACCCTTGTCTACTTCAACATGGGGGGTTGTTTCTTTGGATTGTCATAACTTTTTTTTTCTCGCGGAGACAATGCAGACCTTTTTCGTCAACTGGACAAGCCACCTCATCTGATTGGCGGTGCATAGCGCGGGGATGTACCTCGGTATAGATCACTCAATATGTACATCTCAATATGGACATCTCAACGTGCCCATCTCAACGTGTACACCACCGCGGTGCGCTTTGTCGTCCCTCAATTAGGCGCTCCAATTGGAACATGCGGCGTGTGTATACATATATGTGTGCACATTGCGCGAGGGGCAGCGATCCCCTTGATGTATGCTGACTGACCATCGCTTGACACTTTCCCTTCCATGGCACAGGTAACTGTCAATTTGCGCCGAAGGGGTCCTAGCCATTCTTCAAGTCTGGGCGATCGTCGCTGCGGTCATCGCCCCGGTCGTCGCCGCGGTTTGGGTTGCCATCCCCTCGGTCGAACAGGTAGCTGTTGGCGGGGTTGGCGAAGGGATCGCCTTCGGGATGCCCCTCCTGCTGTTCGTAATCGCCCTTGTAGCTCCCCAGGCCATACTCACCCTGCTTGCCGTAGCTGTCATTCAGCCTGTTCATATCACCTGCATGTGAGTCGTGATTTCCATAGTTGCAATTGGAAGACAAATCATAGTTGGAGCTACGCTGGTGGTACTCGTCCTCGTATTTTATGTAATCATTTTTATGCTCATCGAAAAGGATATCGATGACATTGGAGTAGTTATTAAAGCAGTTCTCGTTTCCGTCGCGGTTGATCGATCTGGGTTCGCGTTGGTCACTCTGCATCGTTGTACCATTGCTACTGCGACTATTGGCGTGGTTGCTACGGTTCCCTTCATTGCCGCGGTTACAGCTTCCATGCTGGTTCTCCTCGTCCTCGTCGTCCTCTTCTTCCTCCTCATCGTAGTGGTAACTTCGATTCATGCCCCGGTTGGAGTTCCCACTGCCGTCACCTCCGATGAGCTTTTCCCGATTGGCCCCCCCAGTCCCCCCGACGTTGCTCAGATGGTGGTGTGTCATGGAGTTGTCCGGCGGGTTGCACAGACCATTTGAGATTATCTCGCCATGGTCAGCGTCCTCTGCCCGTTTCTCATCGCCATAATTAACATCGTTAAAGTATAAGGAGTAGTGATTTAGTTCCTCTATGATGATGTCATTCCATCCCGAAACGGTGACAAGGAAATTCGAGAGCCACTTTATTTCCAAGGACTTGTTGCTCAAAATTTGACATATATGAAGTAAATGTGCCTTATACCCACAATCTATTAAGCTCTCAATTTTTTTTCTCCTTTTCTTATTTTTAATGTTTCGACACCGTCTGACCGCATCGAAGTAGCGGAGACATTTCGGCAGAAAGGTAGTCAATGCTAAGATATAGTAGAGAAGGTAGGAGTATTCATTTTCCTTAAAGATGATGGTCTGCATTAAATCACACACAGAAATGTGTAGAAGATTATTCCACTTGTATTTGAAGAAGATATCAATGGAGATGTCAAAAAAGCCCTCATCGATGATTTCTGTGAGGATATTTTTAGACTTGGTTTTTATAAGTGTCTTTATCAATTGGATAATCTCGAGGGTGGTAAATCCCAACATGTTTCTGCCTTTATTTTTATTGATATTTTTTATGTATAATCTCATAATGTCTTTTATATAGGAGAAGAAGCATATGTCTATGAAGGTTCCATTTTCAAGGTACTGTACCCATTTGTTCAGGGGGATATTTATATCTCCTTCCTTTTCGCTCTCGAAGATTTGAAAGCTTTGTTCTTCGCTGCCACTTTCGTTAGGGTTTTCATCTGTACCGTTGTTCGAATCGATTCCAAAGATGTCTTCTTTCATTTTTTTTTTTTCATTACTTTGGGTTCGACTGAATGGGTTTATTCCACTGGTGAAAATAGCTCCATCTCCGTCCTCCTTCACGTGGACCCGGTTGCTAGCGATTCGCTTCATTCTATTTAGCACATCTTCAAATTTTATCCTTCTCAGATGGTCATAATTTTCGTCATCCGAGGAATCAGATGAGGATGCATCCGACCCGTAGGAGAAGCAATTATCGTTGTCACTGTTCCGCTCGTTCTTTGCCTCTTTCGCGTATTTTACTACTCCATTATTCCTGTTATCCGCGCTGTGGGTGTCACTTCTATACGTGGGCATATTGGACAATTGCGCGCCATCGCTCCTCTGGTTTGCTCCCATTAGAAAGTCGGGGTCTCCCTCCTGGCTGGCGCCCCCACATGAGTAGTAATACGAAACTGCGTGCTGCTGCGCGAGTAGGGATTCGGCGGTTTGTCCATCTTCACCACGTTGCTGATCTGCACCGCTCTGATGATTTTCACCGCTTTGATGAACTTCATCGCTTTGCCCGTTTTGAGCGTCCCCTTGGTCATTTCCGCTCACTCGTAATGGGTCCCACGGAAGGCTTCTACCGCTGCGATTGGAGATAGCCACTCCGTCACCCATCATCCTATTTTCCTCTCCCGTTTGGAGGCCCCCACTCTGGAAAATTCCCCCTCCAAAGGGATCCCCTCCAGTGGGATCCTCGCCAAGTGGGTGCTGCCTCTCTGAGTGTAATTCAAACGGTATAGTGAATGAAGAGTCTCCCTCTGGTTGGAACTCCCCGTTGCTTAGCTCGTCGGCTTCACCATGCAGCGTGTTATGCTTCTCCTCTTGGCCGGTGTCACCCTGAGGGGTTAGGCCAATTGTCTGCATTTCCTCCTTGATCTTTTTGTTCACATGATTTGGCTGCCCAACCGCGTAAACGTTTGCACCTAATTCTGCCCCCGAGTTTGTGCTAACATTTGGGACCACCTTTCCTGGCCCCCTACCCGCCAGCTTACCTTCCTTCTCCTTCTCGAGCTCACTCTTCTCAATTTCTCTCTTTTCCTCCTCCCCGATGTTATCTGCATCGGGAGGCGTCTGCTCGTGTGAATAACTCTTTAGCGGGGGCGCAAAGCCAGCAGGAATAGCAACAGGGGGTCCACTAACCCCATACTGTTCGTAGACATTGCAAGAACTACTCATGAGTATCTCATCCGACTCGCGCACCTGGTTAACGCGAGTGGCATGAGTCTTGGAAGAATTATAAACGTCCTCTTCATCAATGACCTTATTTGATTTCCTTTTTTTTTTCTTCTTCCTAGCGTATTTACATTCCTCCATCTGTTTGAGCTGCTTATTCTTCTGCTCCTGCTCTTTAGTGTACAAATCGAGGCATTCATAAAAATCGATGGTGTTGTAAGATTTTCCCAGCACCGTGTAGTGTAGCAGATCCGATATGATCGTGATGGCAGCAGAAATGGTGTAGGGGCAATCAGAAAAGACGCACTTTATTAGGTAAGAAAAAGACAACTGAGAAGATAAATCAATCAAAAAATAATTAAAATAATAAATCTCTGATTTTCTAACAAAGATATCCCTAATCAGACAAGTGATGTTATCCTCCCGATCACAAATGATAAACATCTCGTTTGAGAAGTTGCCATTCAGATTGCTCAAAATGAAATAAATAATGTCCTTATTGTCGAATATACAGAGGTAAGGCATTTTAACAAACAGTAAAACCTTAAACAACTCAGTTATATTTCTTGAGTAAAAATGATAAAGGAAACCTTTTAAATAGAGTTCCTTTCTCCTCTTCAGATAATTTACCACCTCTGTCGTATTTTTGTTATAAATTGTTATGGCACATCTGCTAAAATAACCTGATAACACTTCATTTAGTTGATTTTTCTTCAAGACAAAACTCCAGAAGAGCTTCATTAGCTTGTCATTGTAGACAAGCGAATCTGTAATCAGCTTATTCTCTGCATTTATTATTTGGTGACATTTGTATGGAAACTTGTATGACTTGTCGTAGTTACTTTTGTCTTCCGACTCCTCTGTGATGTACTTTATTATTTTTTTGAGATTTTCTTCCTTCGATAGGAAGTTCACCACCTCGTAGTTGTCCGCCTTTATCTCCTGGATCAGCCCCTCGTAGTTCAGCAGCCCTTCCAGGTCGTTCTCCTCTAGATGTTTGCTCACGTCGAGCGGCAGACACTCGCTCTTCAGCTTCCAGTACAGCCCGTTCTCCATTGTCGGGTTAAGCGGTGAAGCCGTCAAGCGATGGAGTGGTAAAGCGGTGAAGTGACGCCGTGGCGCGGGGAAGATAAACCAGGTGGATGAACCCCCCACGGAGTTACCTTTCCAACTGTGTCAGATATAACTACCTCGCGCAAGCACACACGTGTAACGTCACTTATTGGATAAAAGAGAAAAAAAAAACCACTATGTAGGGATTCCCCCTGTTCGGAAGAAACAATCCTGTTTACATTCCTCCGGCCAATTTATCCACGGCTACGGATTCACCGTTCGGTTAACGCATACGGCTCTGCTGCGTGGTAGAAAGAAAAAAAAAACTTCACGGGGGAAAACAAAAAGAAAAAAAAAAAAAAAAAAAGTGAGAGGGGCTGCACTACAATGTGCACTTATAGACAGGCAGGATGTTACCCTCTTATGTATGCCCTCCTAAGGGACTACTATTCTCACTTCCCCGTACGCTGCATATATGCATTTCTCCCCCACGGCGGCGTAAATTTTTCAGGAATTTCCCGAATTTCGCAAAGTGTACCCTCCCACTTGTGTGTTCTCATCTGAGTGCACGCAAGAGGAAAAGGAGCAAAACGAGCAAACAAACAAAGAAAGAAACAAACAAATGTATAGTTAAATGTGTACGTGCAAAACACATGGTCAATACAAAAAATGGGTGTTCTTTAATGCGAAAAATAAAAAATGCCACGGGGGAAAAGCACATTTCTCAATAAGAACTCGCGCAGTTACGTTTCTACGTCCGAAGTTCAACATTGAAAATGACAGAGAGGGAGATTTAGAGAGGGCAAACAAAATGAGTGGGAGTGCTCGGTAAAGCGAGTTACGCGGGGGGTGTTAATTCTGATATATTCCTTTCCTTCACCCTCTGTTCATTTCTTTTTTTTTTTTTTCTTCCCTATCGCTTCCCCTTTTACATTGCCTACATTTCGCGTACTTAACATAGGGCATGAAAATAACACCAAGGGGGGGAAATTAAGGTAGGTAGAAGGAGGCACGCACACGATCGGCGATGTGAAGGGTTGCCATGTGCGCGTGGGTAGACAATCTCACAGTAACATAGACAATATGACGATGAGGTAGACCATCTCAAGGTGCCTCGTCTGCGCTGCCTTCTCCTGCGTGAGGACTCTCTGATGGGCCCTCCCTTCGGTGGTGTAATAAAATGGGTTCCTCCAGTTAAGACGACGAAGGGGGAAGAAAATCCCCTTTTTTAAACGTACTCACAAAGGTGTAAAAAAAAAAAAAAAAAAAGAAACAATAAATAAATGCCATGAGAGCGGCTATTCAAATGGGACATACGAATTCGCAACCTCTTTGGACGAGGATAACTTGGCAGCCTCTGGGGGGTTGCTCTATCGATGCTTGCACTTTTACATTTAGTCCACGTTGTGGCGTCGCCTGGGATGCGTCCAGGTACCGGTGGGCAACCCCCCTATGTACATTTGTACAAACGCTTGTCTCGGCAGCTACCTGCCGTTGGTGCCGCCTACTACCATGGGAGTGTAGGGGAATTGCACTTCAGGCAAAGTTAACACATAGAGGGACGTGCAGGGCACATAAAAAAAAAAATAAATAAACTACAAAAATAAATTCCGCACAACAACATGGAGTGCTTCTTTTTCCAGGATAACACTGCACGCGCGACGAAAGGGAAAGGAATGTCTCCGTGAGAAGGCGCCGCATATGCTATGCACGGTGAGTGGTGCCAAGGGTTGTCCCCCTTCTTCTGATTCTATTCTTTTGTGCGAGATAAACAACTTACCCTTCATCAAATGGGAAAGTGAAGAAGTGAAAAAGTGAGGAAGTGAAAAAATGAAAAAACGAAAAAATGAGAAAATATAAGGATGGCGCTACAACAACAAGAAAAAAAAAGCATACGCATAGGTATGATCAAGGGGGGGAAGGACCAGTTGCCTCTTCATACCGACCTCGCATTTTCCCAAACAGCACATCAAACTTTGCAGTTATTTATTATAAATATACGAGTAATTTTCTCGCGCTCTTTATATATGTATGCACTGGTGATGCGTGAGTATATATATGCATGGCTGCTCGCTCACCCCACTTGGCGCCTTGCCCCAGGGCGTGTCAGGGGCGCCCCTCTGCTTTTTTACCCCCCCCCATCGACTGCACCAAGTTTCGCAAAGGCGAAAGTTGAAACATGAGGAGATCAATATGCCAATTCAGGGGAAACAAAGTCAGAGAAGAAATGAAATACGCATAAGGACGTTTTTTTTTTTTTTAAAGAAAGAACAGAGGCGCACTTCTTTCCAGCCTTGTGCAGGATCAATTGTAGTAAAAAAAAACACGTTGATATGCAGGCACGGGGGCATAGGCACAATCGCATAGAGCATACGTGTATATCGAAACAAGCGCAAGCAGCGCGAGGAATAAATAGTCTACGGAGGTCGTCTCGTAATACGTTAAAGGTGACATGAAATTTGAAGAAATTTTATCTGGTATTGTTTTAATAAATAGGAGGGCCTATCACCACGAACAACGCTGAGCATTATTTATATTCGTTACGTTCCCACATATCACATCGTTGTGGAGGAGGCGCACTGGTGATTTTTTTTTTTCTTATTTTCCAGATAAACAATTGCGTTAGTAAGCGTACGAGTAGAGGGAAGGTTTGTTCTCCTAGCTGCTTCGAGGGTTCCCAACTGAAGTTGTGCATCCCGAAGTGACGCTTTGTTAAGGAGCAGCAACTTGGCGCGTAGAGGTGAAGAGGCGAAAAGGTTAACTGGCTGACGTTTCCAATCTATAACTTCGCTAATCCGTAACGCCGCTAATACGCCATGTCGGTGTACATCCAGCTGACGCACGACCTGTCGGGGACGGTGACGGCCGTGACGATCGGGGATTGGATCCTGGGCATCCTGAAGCAGAAAAACATCCAGGAGTACGAAGTGTTCTTTAAGAAGTTTCTCAACATTTATCAGAAGCAGGACAAAGATTCGGAGAGTAACAATCGATCGGAAATATTTTCTCTACTCCTCTCGGCCAGCGACTTGGTGTTTGAGACCCTAGTGGAGACAAAGAAAAACAACAAGATAAAAGTTACCATTGATAATAAGGAGAGTGTGAAAACATATAATGAATTCTACAGAGAGGTGGAAGAATACTTCGTCATCCTGATATCTATTCTGCAGTTAGAATTTAAGACCGTCGAAGATTTGAACAATGCTACCAACAACTTCATCATGGCCATTAAAAATTTTAATGTCTTCCCAGAGTTGCGATTAAAGATTCTGCAGCTTCTTTATAACTCCTTCAGTGTGAATTTCTCTTTTAGATTTCCAACGTTCATTGCGATTTTACAGTTCTCTTCACAGAATAATATTTTCCATTTTATGCTTCCCTATATCAAATTCATCGACCAGTGGATTAAAGAGTGGAACATCAGCTCAAGAGAGAAGAGACAAATATATCTGATCATCGCCCAAGAGCTCAAAAAGCTAAAAAAGTATGAAGAATCTTTTAAACATCTAAATAAACACGTCTACTACTTCCAGAAGGAACCACCTGAAGTGTTGAATCATCCAACCACCGTAAATGCGACTATTGAACTCATTGCAGATGCGATTAATCTGAAGAACAATATTTACTTCCACCAATTGCTAACCCTAGAAGCTATCCAGAACTTACAAAACATTGAAGAACATAAACCCATTTTCCACTTACTAACAATATTCTACCAATACAGTATCCACGAATTTCTAGCGTTTAAAAATAACTACGGTGAGGAGTTATTCACCAAGTATAATATCGACTACGAAGTTGCAGAGAATAAGATATACCTTCTTTCCATTATCTCCCTTTTTAAAGACACCAAAGTGCAAAACATTGAATACATCTCAGAAAGACTCCACATCAGTACTCTCAAAATTGAGAATATTCTTGTCGCTGCCATCGGAAGTGGAATTATCGATGCGAAGATAGACCAGATAAATAAAAGCGTACAAATGAAGACCACCATTTTGAGGCACTTTGACGACACCCACTGGGAAATCTTAAACGCACAAATCAGCAAGTATATCAACAATGTGCAGAAAATCCTCGACATTACCACGTCCCGCTCGAGACCTATGCAGGGCAAATAGGAAGTTACATAACGGGGAGGAAAAAACTCTCTCCCAAAAAAGGACGCCGTGAGAAAAGCGATTTGGAAAACTAGAAAGCCACCACTGCACCTCGTTAAGTGTGTTAACCTTTTTCCTTTCGTTGGTGTATTTACCTCTTTCCTTTCATTAGCTGTATTAACTTCCTCCTTTTTTTTTTCTTTTTCCAACTTAGAAACACGTTGCACGAACGCACACATATGTAAGTATTGTACATGCTCCACTGGGGATGTTCGCCCAGTGTACTTCCCTCCGTAGAACGCGTTTGTTTAGACGCGGTGGGCGTACGCCCCTTTTTGATAGGCCTCATTTTCGGTCAAGTCTTTTTCAGGTGGGCAGCGCGAGGTATAATCGTAAGCGTAAACAAAATGTAAAAAAAAAGAAAAAAAAAGAAAAAAAAAAAAAAAAAAAAGAAAGTAGAAACATGTAAAAAACGTGGTAAGAGGCTACGTGGCAACGTGGCACATACCGACGAGTAGGAGAAATGGGGGGCGGGCCCGCCAACGCTGCCAGCCTGGCGAATCCGCGGGGAGATGGGAGAAAGCATAACGACGCGCACGCGCGCGCACGGAAATCTCCCCCCTTCTTCTTTCCTTCGAGGTGCTACGGTAAGGGGGTGTTGACATAGAACAAAAAAATGCTCCTTCCAATGGGTCTCTTCCCCGTCTTTAATCCTGCACAATAGACATTTTTCCTCTCTCCTATTTTTATGTTAACACTTTGTACGGGGTAATCAGTGCCGTATTGTTTATAAGACGGCGTATGTGGCAGGTACTGCTCTTCTGGCTGCCACTCCCATCAATACACAGCTATCTTTACCTCCTTGAGGGGGTTCAAATTTTTACTCCTTTGGTTGTTGTCGCTCGAGTAGGCCTTAACTTTGTACCTCTTGTGATGAAAATATTTTTCCATCTTGATGTTTTTCCCGCTGCCGTGCACGTTGCAGCCGTTGTAGTTCGCCCCCTTCACATAGGACGAGTGCAGCGAGTGCATATTATACACTTTGTTGCTCTTCACATTTCCTCCTGTGTTGACAAAATCGTAACTATGTCTGTTGGCATGGATCTGTTCTTGATTAAACGACATATAGTTCTTGTTTAGGAAGGTTTTATTTTTTTTCTTCTTTTCTACGTTTTTCTTCGTAAAGTTTGGACCATTTTGGCTGTCCTTATTATGCGCATTTCCGTTCGGCGTTCCCTTTCCGTTTTGGGATTGGCCCTTGCTTTTGGACTTCATACCATGCACGTTCGTCGTTTCGGAGGGCGCTTCGGGCAGAGCTTCGATGGCCGCTTTGACGTCCATTTTGATGTCCTCCTTGATGTCTTCTTTGATGTCCACTTCCTGGGTCAGTACCTCCCGAACCTCTAGTACTCTTTCCTGCACTCCCTCCTGCGGCCCCACCTGGTCGGTGACCTCCGACAGGTACACCGGTATGGGGATCTGCTCCGGTTTGGGGGATCTCATATAGATGGGGATGGCGAAGAACCCCTCTTCCTCCTCCTTCTTGCCAGCCTTCCTAGAGTCGTCATTCCTTTGGCCGGAACCCATGCCACCGCTCAAGCTGTTGGTCAGTCTGTTACCCATACTGTTGTGCTTGCACAGATCCATCTTCGAAGCGTGACTTAGCAAACTGCATCTGCTTGTAAAATTTGGATACCTTGAGGTCGCGTATTTCACATAATGACCTGCGGCTCCTCCGAAGCCATTGGCACCTCCAGTTAGATCCTTCCTACTTCCAGTGTAACTATATCTCCCATTTTCTACATTCTTATTTATTTTTATAATTTTTCTTCCCTTGCTGATGTTGCTTCCGATGTTCATTTGGTTGTTGTACTTATTGCTTCCGCTGGCAATTCCCTTTTTTCCCTTTAATGCAATGACGCTTTCTTTAAGATGCTCACTGGCTCCTGTAGCCTTGGTCGTTTGGGCAGCACTATTTTTGCTGTCAACATTTGGAAATTTTTCCTCTGCTTCGATTATTTTATCGCTCTTTGGTACATCACTACTGCTGTTTCCTTCCTTGGCCTTAATCTTAATGCTCTTCCTTTGTTCACTTTCTTTGGTAATTTTCTCCTCTTCATGATTGAGCTGCTGAGCCACATTATCATTACGATCGGGTTGAGTATCCTTCCCCCCCGCTGCGCTCGTGGTACCTTTCTTAACCAAATTTGGTATGCTCTTTTTGGTAATTTTCATCGCATTTTCATTTTCGCTCTCCATTTTTGTTCCTTCGGAGGGTCCTTTCGCGGGATCCGCAGTCGTGGTGGCGGCTTTCTTCTTCTCCGCCTGCTTTGCCATCTGTTGCTGCGGCGGCTGCTCCTGTTTCTGCCCCTGCTGCTCCTCTTCATCAAGGGAGTTATTTTTAACATCCTTGAGCAGCAAATTAAACAGCTCCTGTGTGGACGTAAATTTGAACCCGTCCTTTACCTTTTTGGCCTTACTAGTAGTACCTTCTCCTTCTTTTTTCTTTCTGCCGCTTTGTTCGACGCAATCTTTGGCGCCTTCCGGTTCATTTTCTTTTACCTTCTCCTTTTTCTTCTTTTTTTGCTGCTCCTTCTGCGCCTCCTTCTGCTCCGATTCCTCCATTGGGTCCTTCTCTCCTTGCACGGGGGTTTTGCCCTTTCCTTCTTCGGTTCTCACCGCCTCGGTTGGCCTTTTAAGTATTTTTATGATGCACTTTTTTGTGCTGGTTTCCTTTTTCTTGTCTCTGCTTCCGACTTCGTCCTTCTCCGTTTCTTTCTCTGCTTTGCGCTTTTTGCCTTCTGTTTTTCCGGAATCGCTCACATCCTTTGCAGGACCGCTTACGGGAACCTCCTCCTTCTGCTTCTCTCTGTGCTCCTCAGTAGCTACACCCCGCTGTGCCTCGTAGTGGATCCCCCTCCTATAATTGTGCAGCATATTGTAGTAGTTGTACCCTCTGTAGTTATGGCTGTACCCATAGTAGTTGTTATTTCTCCGCTTGTCGATGTAGTCCTTGCTGTAGTACATGCCTATGGACATGTTCTTTGGCTTCTTGTATACGTCTACCATGGTGGGTTGGGCTGCTTTCTTGTTTTATTTTTCCTTATTTTTGTTTCTTTTTTTTTTTTTTGTTCTGTTTTGCTAGTTTCTTCCGTTTGAGGCGTGCAGTTCTGTTGCGGTCGGGTTCCACAAAGCGCTCGTTACTGGCGTGGGGTTAAGGGGGAAATCGCTCGGTCCTCTCCTACCGTCGCTTCTGTGCGTACAATAAATAGACAGCGAAATTGACGAAACGGTGAAGGGTTTGATTGGAAGGTAGCTCGATTAGTACGTGCGTCAACTTATTGCTTGGTGGATGGATAGACTCGGTCCATACAAATGAGATGCGCACACGCTTATCCTTAACAATAAAAAAAAGGATAACTGGGGGAAAAAAATTGCACAAAAGTGGCCTCAAACTTCACTTTAAAAAATGTGTATATGTGTCCGCTTGTGTTCAAAATGGATGCACGTGTGTTGAGGTAGTTCCCACGGCTGGATGCAGAGATATATTTGCAACCGCGCCGGGGTGGTGATATGATCTTGGCATTGAACTTCCACGCACGCTTATGTACATCTGCGCCCTTCGCGTGTCGTCTTCAAAATAACTTAATTATTAAAATTTATTTAAAAACAAAGGGGCGAAAAAAAAGAGAGAGAAGAAAAAATTGTAAATAATGAGGGTGTGTGTTAAAACTCACGAAAAGAGGTACAATGTACTGCGAGCACGCGTGCACCTGGGTATGCGTACTTATCGTGGAGTCACTTGCCACACCTGCGTGGATTGACACAGAGTGAGCTGACGGGCAGACACACATATAAGTATAGAATCCCATGCATATGTGAGCGCACCCATGTAGGCATAGATTCGGGCTCTGCGCGGCGCCCAAGGCTAGTGACTTAAAACTTCCTTCTTTATTTCTAATTATTCACGCAAATACACTTGTTGGGGAGTAGTAAAAAAGGGAAGAGAAAGCTCCAATGCAAGTTGCACAAGTGCTAAGGGTACAGGTAAACCCTAAGCTGCGGTTTCCTCCTGCAAAAAATGGGAGCACTCGCGTGCAGGTAGCTTGCACTGTATAAACGAAACGAAACAAAAAAAGTGAATGCAGAAAAGCTGATGTAGATATGATAGTCGAAAATGAAACGCTCATGTAAAAGGTTTTCTTTTTTTCTTTATTTTTTCGGATATGGACTCTCCTTTGTCCTTGCGATGCCAATAAATTAATAAGGCTGCTTCTCTTAGATAAGCTTGTGAAAGCTTTATCGCATTTAAAAAAAAAAAAAAAAATGGAAACATTTAAGTAGTAAAATAAAAATGTGCACTATATATACATGCATACATTACACGGGGGTTGATAAAAAAAAAAAAAAGAAAGGAAAACCCGTGTGGTGGGAACCTTTGCTTCGTTTATAAACAAAAGTTCTATGTTCCCTATCTTGCGTTCAAAGGAAGCGTTCCAGCTGTGTGTACATATATATGTATATATGCAGTGACCTTCCTACGGCGTGATGTGCGTGCGTTCTACGCTACTCTCTCGGCATACACGTCAATTCGCTTCTCCACAGCACTGCTCGAGGGAAGGTAATTTTTCATAACATACTCAGTACGCTGCAATACGGTTGCAATTATCACTGTCACGGTTGCTATTCTTACTTTATTATTCTTATTTAATTTTATTTTTTACGCATTCATACGGAAAGGAAACACCCAATTCACGCTTTGGCATAAATAAGTGAATATTCAAAAGCGCGTGCGAAGGTATCCGTGCCTTGGCGTGTTAATCTCACAGTTCAAATGCTACAAATAAATGTTCACAGCGATGCACATATATACGTATAAGATGTATCGTTCATATTTTTTTTTTCTTTTTTTTTGGGCAAACTGTGGCGCAGTGATTCACAGGATTAAAAAATTTATCTCTCAAATATTCTTTTGCTGCTCAATCTGCGTTTTCGAATGGTTCAAAATGTGTAGGGGTAGCATTATGGTGACTCACTTGGGGGAATGCAAACTGTAAGTATGCTGGTTCAATAGTTTGCTAGGTTCGCAAGTGTGATTTGTGTATATACTCTGTGTACATATTTATTGTGTAGGTATACGCATATATTATGTATCTAGGTAGGTACGTAAGTATGTATGGTATTTTTTTTTTTTTTTTTCTTCGTGAGCTTTTTGTTTAATAACTCTCAGAGATATGATATATCCACTTAACAATCCATGGTATAATAATATATCTGCTAAAGAGTCACACTCCATAAGTTTTTATTTTTATTTTGTTTTATTCTACTTTGTTTTATTTTTTTATTATTTATTTTTTTCCCACTATTCACGAATTGTAACTACGGTGTAGGTTACTCATGTCTCACACACATAAATGCTAGGTTGAAACATCACTTGTTTACTTCTCACACAGGGGACACCACTATGCTTAAGTATTAAAATTGTCATTTTGGCCTACGTATTGTGTGGGTATACGAGGGGGGTGGTCTCTACATGCGCGCACACATACGTGCGTACGTAGATACACGCGTAAGTAGCTTGTGTAACACAGGGGCACAGACGTTTGACGTGTTCACTCTCAGAGCCGTTCGTTCACTCGAGCTAGTGACTGCGAGCCACGGTGTTACGACTTCTAAGCGACCAAAAAAAATAAATCTCAAATCAGACGCACACGTATTGTCGATGCGCTTTTTATTTCTGACGAAATGCTTTTCACGTTTAAAAAAAAAAAAAAATGATTGTTAATGTAAAAACATTCGTCACAACGCGTCGTCTGTTCATTCAAACGCTGATTTAAGAATAATGTAAAATATATTTTCTTCACACGCACATATGTGTACCAAAAGATACGTGTTTTGTCTACACAAAAAGTGCGGGCCACAAAATAAAAAAGTTATGTGGTAAACATATCAGCTTTAAGGGCCTCCAACTACGAACGCGTTATTATGTGGGCTTTCTTTAAAACCACAATTCACACAAAAAAGGGGGTGGGTAAAAAAAAAAAAGAAAAAGAAGGTAGTTTTTTCGTTTTCTCTTTTCGCAATGCAAAGTTTGCGAAGAGAGCAAATAAAATGTCCAGTAAGCGTCGTAAGGGGGTACATTACATATGTGTATACAAACACACAGACGCGCACATAACAAAGAATTAAGTAATCAATTCTTTGCTCTACACGTGGATGTACCCAGGCGCAGATGTACATATAGACATACACAGCAACTCGCTGGAACGTAAAAAAAGCAGTCACGAGATTGCTATGTATGCACATAATGTAAAAAAAACCTTCCTCTGCACGCCCTTATAAAAAAAATGTACAAAAAAAAGTAAAAAAAAAAAAAACTAATTTTTTTTTAATTAGCTATTTAAAAAAAAAAAAAAAAAACGATGGATAGATTTATTGATAAATAGATGGCTAAGGGACGTATGCCTTTATATATATCATATGTCTCATTTGTGTAAGAATTAATAAGTACATATGTATAAGAGGACGTATGGCATAGGTCTTATTGTGGTTAATTGTAAACCTACACAAAGGTAGCCTAAACGATGAGATGCAAGTGGGGCATAAACACATGTGACAATTCTGTACGTCACACATAAGTGACAATGGGCAAAAGAATTAATTATACTGATGACGTTGCGTGGGGGTATACTCACTGATATATAGACATACGTCGGTGTACATATATCGATATCTGGATAATACCACTGCGCAAAAATGTGTGGAGAGGGAAAAAAAAAGGATAAAATAAAACACAGTAAAATAATTACAATAATAATACAAACGTGGGAACAATAAGAATTATAGTCATTATAATATAACAATTGTAGTTATAAAATAACAACGGTGGTAGAGAAAAAAACGGTACATATGAATGTTGTCGGAGGGGGAAATATGGAAAACGAGGGAAATGAAAAAGGAATTGCTTTCCCCTTCTACATATAAACCCCTCTCAGATTAACGATAAAAAAAAAAGGGGGTATTATATAATTAACTGGGGTTATTAAAAAATGGGTGCTCATTTGTCCATGTACGTATAAATGACCGAAATACAAGATTGCAACGATTGCATTATAAGTACATGTTTGTTACATACATTATAATATATGCATATAAATATATGGAAAAAAAAACACAAAAAAACAAAATATTAAAAAAATGTTTCTGATTAATAAATTGTCTCAAATTTGTACGTTTTCTTCATTTATCTCATATATGCTGAACTGTACGTTTATACCCATATACATATATAAATGTGAACGTATAAACATATATTATACAATTTTATACGTTCGCTAAATTCGTTTAACACAGGAAATGTACATATATACGTATAAATATATATACATATGTATAATTTTATCAGCAAATTATTGACATAAATGTTAACTTAAAAATTATACAATTAAAAATCTTTCTTAGCAAAAATGAAATTAGTAAATATAATCATATATAACAATAACATAGCAATTATTTTATTTTTTTATTTTATTTTATTTTTTTATTTTATTTTTTTTTCTGTTTATACTTTTTTTAAATTAAGCTGTAGTAAAAAAAAAATAAATATGAATTTTATTGGCTCTGAAAGAAAAAAAAAGAAATTACTGACTGCATCTTTTTTTTTTTTTTTTTTTTGTTCAGGCAAAATGATGAAATATTTTCATATGGACGATCGCATTGCCGCGCGGGCGCCACGAAATTGCTACGCTGATATTACATATCTATCTATATATAATAGTAATATATTTATATATATATGTAGTAGTACTGCGTATGTACAGCGCTTTTTATGTGCCAAAAAATTCACTTGATGGGTAAATTTATTCTGTACATGAGCGAATAAATGTTCAAACATATGCTAAACGTTTACCTACAATATGTACATGGGTTTGCACTATGTACGTGACAATACTACGTACGTGTATCGCGTACTATATCGCGACTACATTGCGCACAGCTAGCCTGTAAGAAAAATTTCCGCTTAAATTGAAAAAAGGATGTATAATAATAAGCAGCATAATAAAATATAT